ATATGTATTCTTTTAGTCAACTAATGAGATGGGGTGGTTAACATTTATTTAAGTGTGACTGGAACAGTTTTGAGTGATGAATTTTCCTATTTTCACTAGGGAGCTGCCTTTGAATTTGATATTTTCGGGAGTGATTCGATGCTTTTCTCTCTTTCGAAAACTTAACAAAATTAAATATTCACAATATTCCCCATCTTCTGTATAATAAAAATGAAACTGCTTCTACATGTGATTATGAACTCCCAACACATCGTGTCCTTGTGGTTGTAATAGTCAGCAGTTAATGCACTTCTTTGCTGCTTTAGTGGATGTTTTTTATGCTTTACTTTCTCTCTGTTATTGTGCTGAAGAAAATATGGAGGTTAAACAAGAAAATGATGAGAATTTTATTCCCAACTCACATACTTCGACACATCTATCAACTTCAATTTCCGACTTGCATCCAAATAAGAAAGCGAAAAAGGATCCATTGGCACAAGCAATTGGTGAGGCGTCAGACTCACGAAAGGAGTTTTCGGCAAGTCAAATGAAACCGCAACTCAGAGGATGTCTCATAAACAAAATGCTAGATATTTAAGTTCAACCTAAATGTCAATTGATTCCCAAAAACAAATAACATAAGATTCATCACTAGAAATTTATCCATCAGATTTGCATCAAACAAAGAATAATTATTTACAAAAAGATACTTTCAAATGAAAAACAAGATTTTTAGATTACCAACAAAGAAAACAAAAAAATGATGGAAAAAACAAAACAGCAAAAAGAAAGACAAACTAAGAATAATCGATCATCATCTTAACAAATAGAAAGACAAACTAAACATGGTTTTAGGAGCCATAAGGTATGCTAATAGTATCAAGATGAAGTAAACAGAAGCATATATGGTCGACATTAGAAGCTTCCTTTCTCAAAGTGCATCACCTTAATGTGTGTGGTGGAACAAAAAAGAAAAGTGCAAGACTTACCCCACCACCAGAATATTCTGTAGCTATAAAAGCATCAGCATCTAGTTTGACTCCACCAATCCCTGCATTGTTCACCTGTGCAGAACCCAACTGTATCACTATATGTTTTATTTAGAAAAAGTAAATAAATCTAGAAAATATAAAGAAAAAAGAAATTTGAAAGATATGAAGTTCTTTCTTCTTATAACTAACCTGAAAGTCCAAGGCCTTCAAATAGCCTTGCTTTGGAGGCCAATTGCTTGACAGTTTCTAATCCAATCCCTTTGTTTGTACCTGTAACAACTGCAAATCTGAAAGAGCAAAAAAAGAAAGCAACAAAAAATTCAGGAAAGAAAGTGAAACAAAAAAGAGAAATTGTCATATTTGGCAAAAAAAGCATAAACAAGTGACATACCTCTTTGTTGCTTCTGCCATTGATGATTTGATGTAGGACCAAGTCAAATTATCACTTCATCTGTTCAAATGGGAAGAGAGAGAGAGAAAGAGCTAATAGGGCCTTCGGGTGGGTGCTAGAGAGCTCATCATAATTAATCATACCTTAAAATTTTTAGTGCCATCCACATATGAGATGTTTATTAGATATTCAAGACCCATCAGCAATGCGGCTATATTCTGTTGTGTGGTTTCGAGCACACGAATATGTGACCGCAAAAAGAAAAGGAGACAATTAATAACATCGTTATTGAAGGCTTGAAGATTAATCATAATCGCAAACTCTTTTATGGATGAGTAAACAATAATTATAGACAACACAATCGATCAAGCTTAAAGATCCTCTGTTTATTTATCTTACTCTTAGTCTTAGACTTCCAAGTTATCAGTAACTCAGAAAATTGAATAAGAAGATGCAATTTTACAGAAAGGGAGATTTCAAAAAGCATCTTGTAATGGACTTAACTAATAATGCTATAAGGAATAAGATTTAGACTGAGAACAGAGCCAAAGGAGAGGATGGTAAACAAATAAGCATCGAATCATATTAAAAGGTAAAATAAAGGCTTGCTAAGTGTAGCAGAAGTTTAACTCTATACTCTATTTTCACTCCAGTATGTTTCATCATAACCACGAAACATAAAAAATGGAGACTTTGTGAACCTAAAAGAAACTAGATAAACTAGACAAAATGTAGACTCTGTACTCTATTTTGTATCCTTTAAATAGAATACTTGTTGGTTTGGGGGTCTTCCCCTGCTCTGAAAGCAAACATGAATAGTGCAATAATATTTTCCTCAAGTAAACCGAAGCCTCTGAAAGCTCGAAGCCTTAATTTATCAAATCAAAGCCACTATTGCTACAATTCATGCTTATAACACCATGTAAGGTGTTACCGACACACCAATTATCTCAAAAAACCAAAAAGTGAATTGGCATAGCTTGGAAGTATTAAACACTTTGGGATGGGCATCATGATCATTTTTGTTGATATTATGACATAATTTGGTATGCTAAAAATCAAACACTAGTGGGTCGAGACCTTTGCCCTTTTTTTCAAAAAAATATAGCGTTGAAAAGGAAGTGCATACAAATGAATCAAAGTTCCTTTTCTTCGTTTCCAAGCTAAGGATGGATATGCATTTCTCTTGCTTACCCCGTCCTCATCAGTCACGGGTTGAACAATGGAAATAATTGTCATATACAGTGAACTGAAAAAAGTAGCATCGTGCCAAAAGTTGGAGTTGTATCTCTTCAATTCCCAAGTGCTCTAAGAAATAAACGACATCTTAGATGACATTTGGTATGTTTCAACGACCCATCTTTTCTTCATGGGCACATATGTATATGTGCTTGAATGGATGTAGTCGATCATTCATGCCCACTTTTTTGTTTGCTTTTTTTTATTTTCTAATAACTTTGCATGTGAATTATATTTATAATGCATGTTATTACTTTGAATGATTCTGAAATTGAAGTTGACATATGTACATATGTGTACAAAGAGACACATCATGAACAGTCTAAATGATAATATGTGGTTGGTGGCCGAATTATACTTTCATGTATGGTATTACTATTAATAAATAACATGTGCAATATTTTTAGTTTTTTTGTTTTAGTACAAGCGATAGTCATAACTAAATGAGAGTGTGGTTTCTCACATTCACTACCAAGGTGCCATGAAGATTCGAACCTGATACCATTAGTTTGCAAATCAATTGTTTTTTTGCTTACCAGAAATAGTAAATCATTGTTGTCTTAGTTCTGTCCATTGAGGTTTTAAACTACCCCATTCACCTAAGTACTAATTTCACCTTCTCTTCTTCTTTTGACTTGTCAGTCTACTTTTCTATGTATCGTATTTGAGACAAACTAGAAAAAGACAAACCCATATAAAACTAAAACAATTAAGTCATCACTTGTCCACTTGCATCATGAACAGATTTTTTTTTTCCCACAGACTGGTATTGACTGAGAAAGAGTCTGGAGTACGTTCTATAACTTCTTTTTTTCTTTTTAAATTAAACTGAATGTTACAGCACACAAACCTGTTGACGCCAAAACGTGGTTCTCTGACTTTGAGGGTCAACTTAGTAATTTTGTGCCTTCGGTATCCTTGATGCTTCGGTAGTCTGCGTGATCTGCAATATAAGCAAACGCACGGTAAGACCTAGGGCACCGGTGTGGTACCGGCCGAAGGCTCTCCGATGCTTAAGTAAGTTCAGGAATAGAGAGTTCAACTGACAGATCAATAGGCTTGTATGCCGTAAGTTCTGATTACCTCCATTTTGGGATAGTTGGCCTCCTTTTATAGGTCTTGGGAAGTGTGCATTTGTTGATAATTTCGATGTGGGACTGTGGACGTCGCTTTGGAGCGTGCCATGTGTCCCAGGAGAGGGCGTTGCCCTAACGGAGTGATCGGTAGGTAGAGTGCCGAGGGCTCCTCTGACCAAACCCAGTTTCCTCCATGTGTCTTGCTCTCATTGGCCGTTTATTTTGGGTGTAAACAGGCCCACACCCTTCATACTGAAGGTGAAAGATCTACACTTTGGAAGCCCCCCTCCCCCTCCCCTACACTATTTAGAGAAAAAAAAAAAGAAAAGAGGAATAAGTATAGAATGAGGGGAACAAGAACCAAAGCTATTATTTCTTTCTTGGGTACACAAGCGATAGTCTCTGAACTAATTTAAACTAATGTAATCTACACGGAAAGGGATTTGAACTTGGGTGGAAGGGGTAAGCTCGCCGTCCTAACCAATTAGCCTAACCCACATTTGCAGATGTATACAAATACAATGATATAGTCCAAACTACTCTAAATCTAAACTACTATATTACCTTCCTTTCATAGCCAATATGACTTTTTCCCTTCAAACTAATTATGTCTTACCTACAATCCATCATTTTATTTTTCTATAAATAAAACTCAATTTTTATAATTAAAACCTGATGATTGGATTCGACTCATCAATTTACCTAATTAAACTTAAAATCTAATTTATTGTAATTTTTTTAGATCCCAAAAATACCCCTAATTTGTGTTATCAGTATGCAAATAACACATTAATGATGTTTCAATTTTGCATATAGATTTAGGAAATTTTAAGTAACTTTTTCCTCTCTTTTTAAAATCAAATATTCTTTGTTTTAGGTTCCCGCAATTACCTACATTTTCTTAGGTACATTAAAACAAACTAAGGTAATTAATTCTTAGTTTAAAAAAAGAAGAAAAAAAGAACTATGAATAATTAATTCACCGATACAATCTCGGTAAATTCTTATACCTACAAAATATAGGTAAAATTGGTACCCATTTTTATTTTTATAAATAACGTGCCTATTTTTTCATAAATAATGTACCCAGAGGCGGACCTATTAAGGCGCAAGGAGGTGCAGCTGCACCTCCCCTCTCCGGAAAAACCATTGTAGGTGCTTGAAATTGCCCCTTTGCTCAACTAGTGTACAGATTTCCTTATTTCCATTTTCAACATTTAAGTAAATGTCTTTGTCCTTTTACTTTTATTTATTTTTATATTACTCCATTTACTTAAGTTTACAATGTAAATAAGGAAGTACCCCCAATTTGGATTCAAATAAAAATACTAGAAAGTCATATTCCCACCAAATCAAAATATGAAAATTCGGTTTTAGTGCAAAATAGGATTTAGGCTAAAAATGATGGCTCATTAAGTCAATATATACTTCATACTAAAATCCCATAAAATCAAGTTTTGTTATTTGATGTGTAAGGAACAAAAGCCGCCAAAAATTATCTTGAGAAAATAATTATTCTGAAAAACCATTTTTCATACTTAGTCAATATTGCTCCTCCGCTAAAAAATTTCTGGGTCCGCCAGTGAATGTACCTATTTATTTTATAGAACTAATTTCAATAGTAACGTTTCTTTTTTTTTTATTTTTTTTATTTTTATAGAAACAATGTACCTATTTTCTCATACTTAATGTAACCTTTTTCTTTATAAATATTTACGTATTTTTTATATAGATAATTTACCTTGTATTAGATATGTAGAATATAGGTAAATTATTTTTTAGTAGACATGGTCACAATAATTTTTAGGTTAATAAAAATAGCGTACCTAGTCTAGAGTTTTGGAATTGCAAGGCCTACATTTTATAACAAATATGTCGATGTAGCATACAAATACAACGGCTACCAAAATCACGAGAATAACCACGAGCAGCACCATCTAAGTTAATTTTAAAGTTAAAATACTTGAAATCTTATACTTTATAATAAAATATTTAACGGGGCAATGATGGAATTGGAAAGAGGGTGAGGCAAGGATACCAATCCCATCCACATTTCCAAGAGTGGATGACCACAATTTCCTCGGACCACAGGAGTTTTGAAGAACAGGACTGAGTAATTCATATACTAATCATTTAATGAGTAACAAAACAAATCAAATCAAAGAATCCGAATGCAAAATGGAGGAAGCTGCTCCGAAACTCTATGATCAGATATTCAACACTAAATATACCTAAGTGTTTCGTGATCATCCCATGTAATATTAACCTAAATTATAGGGGCATTTCAAAATAGACTTGGTCAATAACCAAAGTGTTTTGAAAAATTCTCATATTATAGTTGTTGAATAAAAACTCAATTTTCATTTATTAGTATCAATAAATATATAGGTATTATATTAATATTGGGTGGGGTAGAGATATTTCCATATGTTTCACTTAAGTCAAGTCCACATTTGCAAGAAGATATTTCCATATGTTTCACTTAAGTCAAGTCAGTTGGGGCACGCGTTGGAAGACAAATCACCATATCAAGTCTAAGTCAATAGTAGCATTGAAGGGCAAATCACCATATGATCGGTGCATATTTACATATCATTTTGTACCCTTCTAATTTATGATTTGGTTATGTTTTTGAGTTAAATTTGTGCTT